ATCGAATGTGTGAGCCTGAATTCTATTATTTAATTAAACTACCTAAGCCACAATTCAAGATATTCATAATTGAAACCTTGCTTGCCAATATGGCCACTCTGTCCTTCGCTTACTGCCATATCACACTGATCTTAATCCAACTGAACTGATATGAGTGTCGTTAAATAATATGTAGCCAGAAAGAATGTCAGTTTCATTTGAGATGATGCTACGAAACTAGATGAGGAAAAGTTCAATTTCATCACAAAGGAAGAACAGAGCTCAAGGTGCAACAACACCCATCAGTGCGAACAGCATTACTAGCGGCTGGAACCTATTACTGACATTTCAGAACAAACTGTACTTGATTTACAAAATAACAGTGATAACAACAATTGTAGCAGCAGTGAGTAAGAAGTTGCAGAAAAAGATGGGGAATTAAATGGAATAGCAGGTTCAGGTAAAATTTTCACGTCATTAAAGGTAATTCAATCTGCACTTATACTTTTGTGCTTAGTATTATACAGAAAGCCTTTCCCCTATGTGTACCACTATCACTAGCAGATAGCATAGTTACCCTCCCTCTTGAGCATCTTAATGCTCATGTCCTACCGAACATGTTACATTTCACACCACGTAGCTGTTATGGGGGAGTGGAGGTATAGATCCATGCATTAACCTTGGTAAATTTATGAAGGTGAGTAAACATCTTCTCTCCACATACACTTCACATTACACTCACAAGATACCAATGAATAGAAAGATGAGTGGGCCCCATTATCAGCCTGGATGTGATAGCAAAGAGAAATATCTCTGACTATACAGGAAATTTAAAGTCTAGTCACTATGCCCCATGAAATTTAAATTGCACGCATTATGTTCTCCATCACACTTCACTACCTACAAATCATGATGCATACACTATGTTCACAATTCCGCATATCCTCCAGGTGATACATACAATAGTTATTAAGAAAGAGACATGTATGCACACAGAACCAGTAAAATTAATTACGGTCCAGTGAACTGTTATCTCTTAACTCCTAAGCTAGGAATAAACTTAACTCCTCTCTTGGCGCATTAAATTTTCACTGCCATTCAAATTTATATTCTGATTCATCATCTTCTCTTTCTCGTTCCTTCTTCGTACCAGGTGATGGCTCATAAATGAAATTTACACAAAGCTTATCCTTACTTTCTTTACTCAGTATTGCCCTAGAAAAGAATCACACTGATTAGTCTCATGCACTTCCTGCATATTTACTTCTTCCTATTGGGAATCATGTTTGTCACTTTCTACCAAAAAGTTATTGATTTT